TCCAGGAGAGACTCAGAGTCCACCCCACACCCTGCCCATCCCTGTCCCTGCTGTGCTGGGGACGGGTAATGAGGAAGGACCCTCAGCTCCAGATGAAACATGAACAGACCCCTGCAGAGGAGGAGCCCAGAGCACAAAGCTGGTGTCCCCCTGGGGGGCAGCGTGAGGGCAGCACAGGGAACCCACAGACCTGGGTTCCCATCCCAGCCCTGCCCCGTCCAGGCTGGGTGACCTGGGGCACGTGATTAACCTCTCTGAGCCTCAGTGAAGTGGGTGGTGGGGTCAGCAATCCTGATGCATGACTGCTGTGAGGTGAGAGGAGTTGAGTGGCAACCCCAGCATGTACCTCACACACTGTAGGTGCTCATTAAATGAAAGCACTGTCTCATTCATGACGTCATGAGGAGATGAAGGCTCCCCATGATCATCCTGATCGGGCTCCCGGTGGCCCTGGTCCTGCTTCTCTCCCTCCTCCTCTTATTCCTCCTCCGACACCGACGTCAGAGCAAAGGCAGGATGTCAGGTGAGTAGGGAATGGGGTGACCTGGGTCATAGGAGGGAGGGGGGCTCAGAGCACCTGCCACAGGAAAACCAAAGGGATGGAGGTCAGCTGAGAAAAGGATTTCTCCAGAATCTCATATCAGAAAATGTAGCACTCAATGTCAGCACATGTGTATGTATTTAAGGTAATCTTTCATTATTGTCAATGCCATGAAATATGAAAGTTATGCATAAGCGTGTGTTACGTTTTCCGTCTTTCCTGTGGAATCACAGCGGGGAGGGTTCTAACATCCCAGAGCTGAGACTGTCCCTCTTAACCAGCCCAGAGAGGGGCTCATTTCCAACCTTCTGCAGGGACCACAGGCCCAGAGCCCAAGGACAGAGGCCTGCAGATCAGGTAATTCCTGCCCTGAAGACCCCAGACTCCAACAATCCATAGCCCAGCTCTGCCCCTAACACTCCTGTCTCCTCCCTCAGCTCCAGCCCAGCTGTGGACGCCCAGGAGGAGCACCTCTGTGAGAGGAAGAGACAGCTGCCCTGGGGGAGGGGGTACAGGGTTTTTGAGAGATGATAGGGGGTTAGGCTGGGAGGATGGGGGTCAGGGGTGAGAAG